ATGATCTTTTCCAGCTCCATCCAAGTTGCTGCAAAAGACATGTGTTTCTCTTTTTTGGTTGCTGAGTAATATTCCATTGTACATATGTACCACATCTTTCTAATCCAGTCATCTACTTTTGGGCATTTGGGCTGCTTCCATGTTTTTCTAATTGTAAATAAAGCAAGTGCTGTGCTTTTTAACCAGTTATGCCACCAGGAAGGAGGGCCCTAAATCAGAATAATTTTATGGGCATAAGACATTTAGTATATATTAGTATCATTTAAATGTTCAAGATGATGGCAGTGAAACAGGCATAATCATTTGCTATGTACTTTTTAAAAAATAATAATAAAATAGTTTATTTTTACATTATTTGTGCCTTTTTTTCATCTCAGTTGTAATCCCCATGGGCTTTCTGTCACTAAATCACCCGTGTGTCATCACCATAGTCCAGTGCATTTCTCTCCCCCCACTGTTTTTTTGCTATATACTTTTTATCACATACACTTGAGATATTATGAAGAAGGGATGATTGTAATTCAGCTCTTAATTCATTTCAGCCTCTGCCTTTCTCCCCATGTGTATGTTAAGGCCTGTGTTTGCTTTTTGCTGTGACAAACATCTCAGAGACCCTTCTAGTAGATGGATTTGTTCATATATAACTTGCAAGTTAATTTAGGACAGTAATGTGCCATGTATTGTGAAAATGTAAATGGATATGCTGCTTCTGGTTGATTCAAAACATTGATCTAAATCACCAAGATTTATGGGCTTTATTGTTGCCATAAAAGATAACAGAGGGTTCCTCCCTGGTGGTGCAGCAGTTTGGATACTGAGCACTGCAGGCTGGCCACAGCTGCTTCAGTGTAAGTTTGATCTGCATCCTGCAGGGGACCCACGTGGTGTGGTAGACCTCTCCTCACCCACCAGCTGTTCCCCTCAGCAGTGTATTTAAGCCCATCTTCCTGTTCTGCTCCCCACTCTGTCTCTGGTGAATTCTCTCACTGTCCCTGCACCTGGGGCCTGTATCCCAGTTCTGTGTGCATAAAAAAAAAAATCTTTTGTTTAAAAAAAATAAAAGAGCTGGTGAGTGATGTGTTGGCTGAACTCTACCACCAGACTTTTTTAGGTAAAGATTTATTGATTAATGCATACAAGCTCTGGTGAGACAGGAGTGATCTGCTGCATCATGTGGGCAACCTCCCTGGCCAGGGATTGAACTTGTGTTGCGGTGGCTGTGGAGAGCTTCATAGAGTTGCACCACTTTTTAAACCCCTGCACCACCAGGGAGGCCCCCACCCCCAGTCCTTTTTTTTACAGACTATGCCCCCACCTTCACACTAGAGGGCTCTCTGGTGCTGAGGACTAAAACTTCCAGCATGCCATAAAGTGGACTTTGGGTTGCTGAGAGCTAGG